CGGGGGCGGGGGGGAGGATCAGTGTGTGTTGGTGGGTGGGGAACGCAAACATTTGCGGGCAGCGAGCCTTAGGGAGCTGTCCGGTAACCCGAGCGAGTCAGAGCTGCTGGTTATGGGTGCGTAAAAGTTGGTGCTTTTAAGGGTCTTTAAAAGATGGTGCTTCTGGGGACGCCTCGCACCTGGTTCGCCTTCCAGCGGCGCAGTGGCCTAGGGCTGCATGACCCGCGGGGGAAGCGGCGGGGGAGATCTGCGCTGCTCCTTGCTAAAGCCGAGCAGTGGGCGGGGGGAGGCTGGGGAGCTTCTGCTCGTGTGCTCCTCTTTCGAAAACGGTGTCCAACACCGAGAAGGCACCTGCAGTTGAATAACGCCCTTGTCTCTTTGTAGGAACATGAGGTGGAAAAGATGTTCACCCTCAAGCCGGGCCGTCTGCCCCAGGCTGACGTCAAGAATATCATTTTCTTCGTTAGGCCCAAGCTAGAGCTAATGGATATAATTACAGACAATGTGCTCAGGTACAGATAGTGCTTAAACCGAAAGCCAGCGGCTGCGGAGGGGGTGGCTCATGGTTCCCTTCCTGAGAACTGTCACGCGTTCCCACCCAGGTTTGGCTGTGAACTTGCCGCATGACTTGTGCTCTCGGGGCTCGGCATGGGGAACTATGTGCTCGTGCTGGCACTGTGCTGCCGCCACTTCCGGGGCTCCAGGCACCCTGGGAAGGGAGAGGGGATTTTCACTGTGACGAGAAACGCAGAGGGAAACCTGGACGTTCCTTTTAATTAGCTGGAATGAGTCATGCTTTGAATGATCCTCCTTTTGAGAACTGCAGGAAAACGAAGTCACGTTGACCTGGTTTCACGCCTGTGGCTCTGGGCACATGTGGCTAGGTACAAAATATTCTGAAATAAAAAGTTAGGAGTGAAAGTTGATAGTAATAACTAAGCATAGCACTCTTCCTTCCTTTGCGTTCAGTGCCCCTAGCCTACGGTCTGTGCTGTGCTGCCAATCTGCGTAGCTGCGTTACCGTTTGCTGCGCCCTGCCTCACTTTTCCAGGGAAGACAGAGGCCGTTCTCCCCAGAGGGACTTCCACATCCTGTTTGTGCCGCGGCGCAGCCTGCTTTGTGAGCAGTGGCTGAAGGAGCAGGGCGTGCTGGGATCTTTCATCCACCGAGAGCAGTACAGCCTCGACTTGATACCCTTTGACGGAGACCTGCTGTCCATGGAGTCTGAGAGTGCATTTAAGGCAAGTGCTTGTCTCATTTTCAAGGAAAAACACTTTGTATCTGGCTGTTGGTGTCTGATAGAGAGGCTCTCAACGTGTTTTTCAGTTACCTACACAGCAGTAAAAGGCCTTGCAGAACAAACATGGTTTGATTCTGCGCGTTAGGGAGTCAGAACTTCTCGGTTCATTTTCCAGCTAAACATTGAGCAAAGAATCATTTCACCAACCTATATCCTAGCTGTAAATTGTTGGTCTTATTTTCACTAATTGGTCATTCATAACGCTCAAAATACTTAAGTCGTTGCGATGAACTGGTGTAGTTTTGGTTAGTATGCTGCAGAAGACTCATGTGCGATGGTTACTGTTGTGCGCTAAGCTGTACTGAGAGTTAACAACTGTCACGTACCAACTGTGTATCCTGTTTTCTCACTATGTTACACTTAGGGACAGAAATGTTTGAGAGACTTTCTTTGGCCATCTCAGCCTTATTAATTCAAGCCAAGAGGACGTGTCGTGGCTTGTTGCTGATTGTCAGCCACTGTCATGAGGTGCCTTGCTCTCAGATGAGCCTAATTAGAGGGAGAGGCTCTCTGCAGTCACTTTCTGGTTTTGTAAATCTACGCCGTCAAGCTGGAAGCAGTGTGTGTGGTTAGAAAATATAACAATGGTTTGATTAAAGGATTAATACACTAACAACACATACAGTTGAGATCCATATTTGCCAAAGGCCGTAGTTTTTTTTCCCCTAGCCTATGCCTCCTCTGAACTGTTCACAGTTTGGCTGTGAAAGCCTCTCTGTCAGATCGATACCTTCCATTGGGAATCCTTCTCGTTGTTTAGGAATGTTACTTGGAGAGCGACCAGACAAGTCTGTACCATGCGGCGAAGGGGCTGATGACACTGCAGGCTCTCTATGGAACCATCCCTCAGATCTTTGGGAAGGGGGAGTGTGCCCGGGTAAGGCAAATGCTGCTGCTTGAAAAGATGCATTTAGTTCTTCGAAACTGCCTTAGGGACTGTGTGGCTAACTGACATCTGTGAGGCTTTTTGAATCCAGCCGTGGACCCTTCTTATCATACTGGAATTTCAGGATCATGTCCAGCAGATCTCTGTCATCTCTGGTCAAAACAATCCCTAACTGTTCCATAAATCTCATTGTCAGAAAGATCTACCTGATTTCGTGTATCTTGCTCTTAGTTACGCCACCATTACACTTTCAGCAACTCGTCTTTCTGTGGAGTTTAGCACTTAGTCGCTCTGTTGGCATCAGAAAGACTGAACAAAGAGGGAGATGTGCAAACTACTGCTCATGCCTTATGTTTTTCATCTCTCCATATAGGTCACTCACCTTCTTTTTGTCTTCTCTGATCAACGTACAGTTTAATTGCTACCTTTTGTAATTCGGGAGAGGCTTGAGAGGAACCCAGTGCCTTGGCCACAGTCGTTGCTGTTGTGCTAAGCTACCGAGAGTAGTAGAGAAGGCCTTGGTTTGTGTCTGCTTGTCCTGCCCCCCATCTCAGTCAGTTTGTGCCTCTTGCCTTTCACTTCCTTTACACAGGACCACATCCCCATACTTGCATGAGTACGTGCTTGTAGAGCCTAGAAGTCAAATCTGTCTCTTGTGGCCTGCACCATAACCAGACCGATGTGGTTTATTTTCAGCATGTGGCTAATATGATGATCAGGATGAAGCGTGAGTTCCCTGGAAGCCAGAACTCGATATTTCCTGTCTTTGATACCCTCTTGTTGCTGGACCGTAACGTTGATCTGTTGACACCTTTAGCTACGCAGCTGACGTACGAAGGGCTGATTGATGAAATCTATGGAATTCAGAACAGTGAGTACTGCAGGTCCAAGGGGGAGAAGTCTCTGGTGTGCTGGAGCAGGCTGCAGTGTGTCAAGTGGATTTCTGCTTCCAGTAAATGACAGTGATGTTGGAATAGCTCACTTGAACTTAGGAGGGGGATAGGTCAGACACTTGACTTAGCAATCCCAACCTAGAGCCCGTCAAGATCAGCTTTGCTCCCCTTTTTACCTAGGACAAGGACACAAGTACAGTACATGTTATCGAATTTGAATATTTTGGATGTCAGCTGGGTACAAACACGGTGACACAGAACACGCAGTGTGGAAGTAGAAATTTTAATGTATGTCTTCACCCTCCAGCCTGGATTGTTCATGTTATGCCACAGTGAGGGAAAGGGAAGAGTTTGCGGAACGCCATTCTGGGTTCTCCCCCTTTCTTTGGGAGGGAGGAAAAAGAACTCTAAAGAGGCATTTACAGCTTTTAATTCCCCCTGCTGTACTGATGACGGGCTGGAAGGCTGACTCTGAACCTCTTTGGAAGCAGGATAGTGTGTGCTTAGGTTCTGATACTTGGGTACGTACTTCTGGTACATGTGTGTCTAGCTCTCTGGGTTCTTCTGTCAGTGCAAGAGACTGTCCTTAATTCCCACATTCACGCTAAGTTGTTATTGTTATTAAGGCACTTATATTAGCTTTGCTGCTCAGAACTGCCTCCAGATCAGGGGACAAGTTTCATGCTCTGCTTAACTTCCTGTGGTGAAATTCCAGTTCTTATTGAGGTTATTTCTCTGTATTTGGTAGCTTATGTGAAACTCCCTCCTGAGAAGTTTGCCCCAAAGAAGCAGGGTGAGGGTGGGAAAGATCTCCCCACAGAACCCAAGAAGCTCCAGCTGAATTCTGCTGAAGAGCTGTATGCGGAAATCCGCGACAAGAACTTCAATGCTGTGGGGTCAGTGCTGAGCAAGAAAGCCAAGATCATCTCAGCAGCCTTTGAGGTGAGGCCTGTATCTGACCGTGCATCCCTTGGGCGTTCTTGTCGTCGGGTACAGACATGGTCTGTGTTCAGCGGGGCTGCAATTGGCAGTTTGAGCTGCTGCCATGGAATAATCTCCCAGCCAGAGAAAACAAAGATAATCCTCAGAAGTGCCTCCGGTCTGTTCCCCCATCCTGGCATGACATCAGCTCCACTTCAACTGTTCTGAGTAGGTGTTGGTCAAATCTCCTCTTAAGAAATGTAATGCAGATCCTCTGCTCTCCCCAGACCTCTGTTCTGGGTCTTTGGCTACCCTCAAAGCTAGCCTAAACTGCATTTCTGCTGTGTGAGCCCACAGTTCCCTGAACAGGAATTGCTTTCTTCAGTCTGCAGAATAGTTAGGTGCTGTTTACCTCTGCAAGAGGCCAAAAATTAATTGTAGCATACTGATCCATTTCTCTTTGTTGCTGTTGCTTGTTACATGTTAACGGAAAGTTGCTTGCCCCCTTGTATTCCCTGAGGGTGGAGAGAGAAGGCTTTAAGAAACTCCAGAATGTATGTTCATAGAGTATTATGGTTGGCATCAAAAACACTAGGAATGTGGAAGCCCCAACTTTTTTAGGAGGTTTGACCTCTAAACTGATGCTCACATGTTACCTTAGACAAAGCTGGGGAATGCTGTGGGGTGTGTTTGTGAATTTGTTTGGAAACATCTTATTGATAATTTGTAAAGAGACAGAGATTCCACATCCGTGGTTTCAGACTGCAGGGTGATTCTCAAGACAACTTGTTGTATTATTTTTTTTCTTTGCATCTTCACTTCTGCCACATTTAAGAGAGGGTAGTGGTACCTTAACTCAAATGGCGCGCGCTTAGGGTCATCTCCTGGTAAATGTGTATTACTGCAATGTTAGAATTGAAGGCTTTAAGGTTGGATTATTCATACTGTTTGTTAAGAAAAGAAACTTAACAAATTGTCAGAGGTAATAGGTGATAATGAAACAGCAGCATATTGGCAGCAGAGGACTTCTTAAATTGCAGGCCTCATTATTATCACTTTCCTGCCTGCACTTGCCCATTTCAGTCCTTCACACATAAGTCAAATTATTATGTTTATTCCAAGTTGCAGCAAGAGCCAAGTAGCCCAAATGAAATACAGACCTCTGGACTGCTCTGACAGCTGAAGTCTGCAGTGTGCTTCATCAGACAATTGCTCAAAACCTGGGACAGTGTTACAGCCAGGTATAGTGAATGGCGGGCTCCTCCTCTTGAGAGAGATGCAAATCCTGCTATTCCTCAGCACCTTTAAATACTGCTTTAAGGGGAAGCATCCCCCCTGTCTCTGACTGCATTTGCCTAAAGCTCCACGTTTACTGGCAGCTAGCAAAGTAATTCATCTTTGCATGAAAAAGGTAAAGAGTTTTGCTGATTGGGAAACTAAGGAACAGATAGTGATGGCTGAAGTCAGATAAAAGTTAGAGAAAGATCCCAGTAGGAGTAGAAAGTAGAGTAGATCCCAGGATCTAGATGTCATCCTGGGAAATATGCTCTAGAGGACCCTGCTTGAGCAGGGAGGTTGGACGAGATGGTCTCCAGAGGTCCCTTCCAACCTAAACCATCCTGTGATTCTGTGAAAAGCGGCAACTCTGGTTTAATGGAAAACAGCACTGTAATGCTGAGATCCTCTCTCCTGTGGTAGTATGTGCTAGCTCCTCTAATTATCAAAGTGCAGTTATAGGTAATGCTGTCATTTTAGTGAACACTTAAATTGTTTTGTCTGAAAGGTCAAACACCTCTAACAATATCTGTTGTTGCAAAAAAATAGTATCGTATACTGGTGTTCACATATTTTTACCTTTCTGTAATTTAAGCAGTGAGTAATGAACTTCTGTGTGATGAAATGATGTAGCTGGTGTATGGCTAATTACACTGAACAAGACCTAACCTAGGCGATGATTTTCTTTAGGAAAGACACCATGCTAAAACCGTCGGCGAGATTAAGCAGTTTGTCTCGCAGTTGCCACACATGCAGGCAGCAAGGAGTTCTCTAGCAAACCACACCTCAATTGCAGAACTCGTCAAAGACATCACCAGTGAGTATTCATTGAATAGTCTGATTTCAGTGTATCTAGATGCCCGACAACTTGACGAACATCATTCAGCTTTCCAAAGATTGGCTTTGTTCCCACTGCTACATCTCTGCTGAAAATATTACATGTACAAAATAAGCTGTTAGTTGCTAATGTATTGATTTTTAATCTTTTCCCTTAAGCATCAGAAGATTTCTTTGATAATTTAACAGTGGAACAAGAGTTCATGTCTGGAATAGACACAGACAAGGTAAGTAGATAATGACATCTTGGGACTCTTGCCTTTTTTTTTCTTTTTTCAAATGTTTCTCTTCCCCCTCACCCCCCGCCCTTTTTTTCTGACAGCAAGAGAGGAAACATCTGATCTGGATGGTGTCCTTCCAGTGTCAAAGTTGTGAGTTCTCGTGTGTGTCCCCTTGTACCTTTCACAGAAGTCTCTTCCCGGTGACATGTGTCGCGGAACCTACTTGGAGACATTGCCGTACTGTGTGCTTTGCTAGTCTTCAGTTACATATCACTGCTTGTAATGCAGAAGTACACAGCTCAAGTGCTTTGACCTGTACAGTGGCATTACGTACTGTGAGGGCTCACTGAAAAATTCAAGACCGTTATCAGAACTTGTTCAGTGCATCAAACACGGTCTAGCTGATTTGGAATCAAACAGACCTTAGATGCTAGGTGGAACCATTGCTATATCACCATTTAAAAGATGGACTTGAGCTGCCTGGAGAGCAGCTGCACCCGCTTTCTTGCTAGTTTACATGGTAAAACTAGGTAAAACTAGATCTTTCTTTCCAGGTCTGCTAGGCACTTTAACAAAGCTTTGGCTAACAGTTTATGTATTTTTTTTCCACAGGTTAACAATTACATTGAAGACTGCATTGCTCAAAAACATCCGTTAATCAAGATCTTGCGTCTTGTTTGCTTGCAATCTGTATGTAACAGTGGACTGAAGCAGAAGGTTCTGGACCACTATAAAAAAGAGATTCTGCAGGTTGGGATATAACTTCTGGCTTGTTAAATTTCAGAGAAAATCCACATTAAAACCTCATTTCTACAGTGCTTGCATTCTAGACAGCTACATGTGTAGCCCTAGGGTGTTCAGTGTGACTACAGATGTGCATGGATGCAGAACTGGGGCTTGCGTTTGGGCTGACGACTGTGACATAGTACGTAGTTATATCTGTCTCACAACATCTAGGTACAGAGAGGTTTGTATCATTGCATGCTTTGCTGTCATGATTTAAATGTGCCAAATAGGATACAGTCTGGAGAAGTCTTAACCAAAAAATGTATCTTTAAACTAACACCTTTGCCCTTTTTATTTGAAAGCTACGCTTTTTTAATGATCTATCTGTTGTCTTGGCATAACGCATGAAAATGTTTTTAAGTGTTTATTTCTGCTCTGCACATTTGTAAATCACCGTGAGTTACGTTCATGAGTTTTAAGATGAATCTGCTCAGAGATCTTGAGGACAATGCTATTGGAATCATCATTTTGGGGAACCGTCATGGTGAATATCTAGATTTCAGAACAACTCCATTATTGAATTTTGCTACTTTATATTGGGGGGGGGGGTAGGCATTTTATACAACACTTAGCCTAACTGCTGTTGAACAGGTGGGCATGGTATTAAAGGCAAATTTTTCATGTTGCAGACTTATGGCTATGAACATATTTTGACCTTAAGCAATTTGGAAAAGGCTGGACTCCTGAAATCTCAGACAAGTGGTAGGAATAACTACCCAACAATCAGGAAAACCCTGCGCTTATGGATGGATGATGTTAATGAACAGGTAAACATACGCTCCAGCTTCCAGTCAGTTTAATGTAATGAATACCACATCTAACATTACAGAATTATGTGCAGCAGGAAAACCCCTGTACTGCTGTTTTGTTTTTATGGTGCTTTGCTTTCCACCATGAAGTAGCGCTCACCTGCTGCTTGCATTTCCTCTCTCACAGAATCCCAACGATATCTCCTACGTTTACAGTGGCTACGCTCCGCTCAGTGTGCGCCTGGCACAGCTACTGGCTCGGCCAGGGTGGCGGAGCATAGAAGAGGTTTTAAAGATGCTGCCAGGCCCCCATTTTGAGGAGAGGCAGCAGTTACCTACTGGCCTTCAGAAAAAGCGTAAGTTTTGCTTTGTTTCCCCATTTTTGAGAGTCATGCATCTCTTTTAGGCTGCGATGAGGCAAACGGCCATCAGGGCTAGCAGAGCCCGGTCATCTACCTCATCTGCTTGTCCCACCACGATATTAGATCTGCCAAGCCCATTCTTGACGATTTTCTGACTTCTTCTTTAAAACTTCCAGTGACCTATTCAGCCTGCTATTAATGAACAGCACCATGTGTATTTAAAATACATCTTTATAATACAGAGCTGTAGATATAATTGCTAACCTTATACTGGGATTTTAATAAGTAACATTACAAAGAAGGTCAACATTACTCTCATAGTAGTAAGCCTGAGCAGACAGGGGCACATCCTGAAAAGAGACTACAGAGCTGGGAGTGTAGCCTGCATATCTGGGCCCCAGTCTGGTACTCTGTCCAGTAGCTTTCTCCTGTGATTCAGCTGCTATCTTTATTTTAGGAGATTTTGAGTTTGACTGCCAGGCAAAGGATAGGAAATGTTAAATAAAACTAACACAGCCTGTAAATCTCTTTCTTTGAATACACAGGTCAACACGGTGAGAACCGAGTCACCCTGGTGTTCTTCCTGGGAGGCGTGACATATGCAGAAATAGCTGCACTGAGATTTCTGTCTCAAATGGAAGACGGAGGCACAGAGTACGTCATTGCCACCACAAAACTGATCAATGGAACAAGCTGGATCAAATCCCTGATGGAAAAACTGGAGCCTGCCCCTTTCTAGGGTCTGTGGCAAGAGACTGTAAAACTGAGAGGCCGTGTGTGATACAGGCACATCGGTCCCTGGTCTTCTGGCATGGCTGCTTGGACATCAGGGAAACGTGATGGTGGAAGAGACTCTCCTGAAACCAGTTCATGATGCAGTTACCCTCATTCCTCTCTGCACTCCTTTGTTCCTGCTCCTTGTGGCACTTCCTGACAGACAAGCAGTGCTGAAAGGCACTGTCAATGAAATAAACAATAGGAGAAAGAGAAGTCACTGCCTGTGGTCTGAATCAGCAACCAAGTGCTAGGGGAGGGAGCCTGCTCCTTCCATTTGACAGTTTGCATCTTTCAGTTTAGTTTTAATCTGGTGCTGTGATTACTTTTTTGTCACCTCCCTAAGACACGCAGGAGGCAGGATAGCTTCTCTTCCTGATTGCATACCAATATTCCTAGTCTCTCTCATCTGATAATTCTGTCAATGCGCTGAGATCTGTTGCTAGCAGAGATCTGTACTCAGCTGTGCTTTAAAATGCTGTCATAGGAGGCCCTCTAAAATGTACTGATTTCCTTTCTGTTCTAAGGAAAGGAGCTCCCTCCACATTCTCTTATTTACTGTTAGCTACAAAGGTCTCCTTTCCGGGCCATGTTTGGGCTCTGTCCGGAACTATTGCTTTTGGACCCAGTTCTTTGTAGCAGTGTCTATCCACTGTTTAGACCTACAACCATTCTTCGTTCTAGGCTTATTCCTGCTACCATATGTGTGTTCCCAGTTACCTTATCTGACCCAGTAATTTTTTGTGATGATGTTCTTTTTACTACTTAGTGATACTTTTGTTGAGAGCTTGTAGCAATGCACATGAATTGAACTGCAATTAGTGATAAAAGTAATGGCAAAGAACAAAGATGTGGCAGAAGGTGCTTTCTTTCCTCCACCATCATTGCATGGCTTTAAAGAAAATTTAAAACTGTAACTTTTTTTCCTTTCTAGCACTTGCAAGATTTGCACCATTATTATGTTGCTAGAAAGGTCACGGCTTGGTATTTCTGAAGCTGAGCTACAGTATTTGCAACACTAGCAGGCCACGTGGTGTAACCCTTTCAGTTTGTCAGCTCAGTGGGGACTTAAGAGTGACTTTATATAATCAGAAATGGAGAAATGGAAGTTGCCATCACAGCTGGGTGATGAGAGGAAAAGCCCTAGATGAAGGCTGTACTGTGGGTTCAGCACTTATCAGCTAGGGTTCTGCACATGGTGGGGGTGGGTGTTTTTCTGCGCTCAGCTTTCTCATGGTAGATGAGGAACTTCTGCTTCTCTAAGCTCCAGCATGTCATGTGACAAGGCAGCCAAACAGGCCAGGCCACAGCAACTAAATTTTTTTTCTTGGCAACTGATTGTGCAATGGAAAGATAGCTGCTGCAAAGGGGATGCAGTAATATTTTTAACTGCATAGGTTCAGATACACTCCGAGGGGGAAAAAAAAAAAAAAACAACAAAAAACACAGTTACATGCACTTAATTCACAACTTCATCATGCATAACTTACTTAAAAAAAAAAAAGAAACAGAAGGGGTGAACTGACAGGCTCCTTTTGGAGCTCCAGAAGGCTCAGCCTTTTAGTGTGAGAAGCTGGGACAACAAAACCAGGGACTGTTGCATAAGCCTGTGCAGCTGACCACTGGCAGAGCCTAGGCTGCTTGGCTTCAGACCCTTTGCTCCGTCCACTGTCACTACACTTACTCATGCTCTTTGAAAGCAACCACTGGGGACTTTGCTTCACATTGCCTTTCATTTGTAAATTGTTGAAACAACTTTAAAATACACACACAGGCACGTGCACACAAAAACATTGTCTTTGCACACATTTCTGCTTAGTTACCCTGCATGCTGCATGTGCCCCAAATCTTCATTTTTTTCCAAGTTATTTGTCACACATAACTGTGGGATTTGGCCCTTAAGGGGGGAAAAAAAAAAAAAAGACTATTGAATTCTGCTGAATTTGCCCCTTCACAGAGACCCTTTGTCCGTCCAACTCCAGTTTGCTTATTGTAATAAAACAAAAACTTATGTAATCATTTTTAAAGACATCTCTCTCTCTCTCTCTCTCTCTCACTACACACACACACAATAACACTAATTACAGTCCATGCTGCCATTTGTTGTACTATATTGGAAAAAATCTTTACAGGATTTCTTGATTGTTTAAAGGAAATATATTTTTAATCATTTGAGAATTTTTACTTAAGGCAGGCAAGCAACTTGCAGCCTTCGCTTATAAGAATAACAAGCCCTGATGTCATTTTTTTTCAATTAACTTACTTAACTTGAATTTAAATTAACACACTGCAACTTCAACAAGCAAATCATATGAATTATTCAAGAAGCCAATGTGGCTTGCCCTGCTAAGCTTTATTCATACAGTTCCACTGTGAAAGTACACAAGTTAGCAGTGTTTAAAGAGAAAGTTGAAGCAGCTTTGGATCATACTATGCAAAATTATGATCTAATGATCTATGATCTAAAAATTAGATCATACTATGCAAAAACAAAACAAAACAAAACAACCCCAACACTATTCAGTGTTCTTTCAGTATATCATTACACAGACTATCCTTGGTTTGGCCTTGAGGGTCTTTGTACAATCATAATTTCCAGAACCTTGAAAATTAAACTAATCACAAAGAAACGAATAGCACTGATTAAGCTATTTTTTTGTGACCCCAAGCTTATGATGTACAAAAGCTACAACGTAGTCGAATAAAAGAAACAAAGCAAAACACCAGTTCAACAGCTCACCTACCTTTCTCACTTGGCCCAACAAATGTCTTAGTAATACTAGGGTTTAAACTTGCTCTTGCTTTCAAAATAGTTTATGATGCTGAACACTTGGTAAACTTTAATTTACCAGCAACACTGCTGCATTGTTTTTGCACAGACTGTAGCCTGAACCACCAGCAATCAAGAGTCACACAAACTAGACAAAGTCTCTTCCTGGAACTATACAACAAAAACAATAAAATAAAGGCCATCTTGACGTTGACTGATTCTCTAGAGGAGCAATTACTACTTAACAGGCTTCCTGAGCGGCTTGATTATGCTCTGCTTCTGTCTAAGGCCTTGCTGACCATGCGGGTAATAATTTGATAACAAGAGAGCCTAATTAAATTAAGGGGCCATTTTCTAGATCATATTATCTTTGTAGGTAAGAGATTTGATTTGCAGTACATATAGTCTTCCCTTTCTCTGCTGTCTGCATTTGCCTAGTTTACAAGCAAAAAAACAAAAACAAAAACCCACTACCCAACCTCTACCTCAAAACACTTCCACTTTTCATAAAACATTATCGGAAAGCAGTTTGCTAAAAATAAACAGGTATCTTGTCTTCCCTGCCTCCACCTTCTTGCTGCAAAGGAGTGGTATCTCTTGGTCTCTCTCTCTCTCTCTAAAAGGCAGGGATTACTTTTTGGGTGTGCAAGGGCAAAGATTCAGCAGGGAACTAGTGAGCGTGTAGCAGGCACTGTCCTCAGTGCTCGCTCTCCTCTGATAACAGGGCCTGACTCAATCCACACAGTTCCATCCTGTAACCTGCTACCGATCTTGGGAGATCCCCAGCTGTATGCAAGCATCCTCCTCCTCGAGCGGCCCACTGAAGCACAGTTTGTCTCAGAGAATGGAGGAATATGCTCAACAGCCTCTCAGTTAACTGAACTGCAGAATGAAGAGCATAAGAAAGATGACACGAAGCTTTGTTAGCGCAAAATAAAGGCATTTAAACAAATGCAGGTTTTGACCTGATAACACGAGGAAAGCCATACTGCTTCAAAGCACAAAATACTGTTGACAAAAGCGCTCTGGGGAAGGGGAGCTATTTGGAGCATTCTGTACTGCTGTGCTGCACAGAGAGCAAAGGCGCTATGTCATATAATAATTGGTCCTGACCACACCTAGTGCATTAGTCCTCGTGTGGGCTGTAAATACAACCTCATTACTCCTGGCTCCCGGATTAGCAGATCAGAAGGGGATCAAACTACAGCACAAATCTTTTAGAAGCCAGAAATTCAAGGGACAGCTGCAGAACAAAGCCAGCTAGAAATAGGAACTTTACGAAGTAGATTCCATCATCTACCTGGGTAAGCAGTTTATTTCTCTGTCAACATCTCTTTAGGTAAGGGAAAAATATGCAAAGACTATAAATAGAAAACTTAAATACTTTGAACAACTGGGACGCTATAGCTGTTTTTAAAATGCAACAGCTTCTATAACATACACATGTGCCTGAGCTTGGGGGAAATGACTGAAACTATTTAAAAAGACCATATTATTTTTAATCAAAAGGAGAACTCTTTATGATAACAGCTCTTTAAAAATATTCTAAGTGGCAGGATGTGAATTCAGATTCCTTTGACTGGCTTTAGACTGTTTAGACGAGAAATGATGTTTTTAGGTTAGCCTTGTATCTGGTTTTAAATCCCTTTATGTGTTTGACCAAGAGTGCAAGCATATTTCTGATCAAAATTAAAAAGAACACGTCAACTGGGGACACAGTAGAATTTTTTAGATATGTCGTCACAGCTTTAAGTCTAAGGTGCCAATAACTTTCGAAGGAGTGTTCATATTTTGCATTAAACTAACTAATGAGCAACTTTCAAAAGGATGCATTAAGTATGACTTTAAAATACAAATAGAAATGAATTCTAAAACACCTTACCTTTTGTCTCCCGTTTAAAGGTTATTTGTAACATGCGTTAGAAATCTTTGTCTGTGCAAACTTGTATTTAAGTTCCATTTTCTCCAGTCTTAAACAAAAGGCTCAGTTTGTGCCAGTATCTCCATTAGATGCTATTATATTATTAAATATTAATGGTGGCTTCCTTGGAGGAATTGACCACTTTGATTAGAACATTCTGTTGGTAATGTACCGTCAGCAAATGCTCTAAACGTGAAGCTTCCTGGATGCACGGCAACTGACACAGCGGAAAAGACAGCACAAGCCAGCTGGACTCTGGGCCACTGGTCCTTAGATGCACATCAGTGTCCACTGCATGTGTGTCTATATCTTAATTTGCTTAGTTACCAGTCCTGACTTGGAGACTGTGATCAGATCCTGAACTCCTCCTCAACGCTGCACAGCCTGGTAACCCTGGAGAGGACTCTGTGAACAAGCACACACGATTCCAACCTGACGTTTAAGCTTTGGTAATTAACAAGCCTCTGAGAGAGCAGGGTGACCATTAGTCCTCCTGAACTCAGCCACTTCTTACAGCAGATTCACACCCACAGCTCTGCAGTTTCCTGCCCAGAAAGACTCATCCTGCCCCCTTTGCTTTTCTTTCTTGCAGACCGGGGGGGGAGCAGGGCACCAGCAGCCCCAGACACCCTACCTGCCTTGCAGTGCTGCAAGAACCATGCCGGACTCCTTTGCCATCCACTTCCTCAAGGTGCTGAAGGAGCTCCTGGCCTTCGTGCTGTTCAGCTACACAGTGCTGGTTGGGGCGCTGCTCCTCGCTGGCTGGACAACTTATTTCTTGGTGCTTAAATGACAGCTGCTTTTCTGCTCCTGCAACCACAGACTGGCCCAGAAGCAACAGACCCCGCTGTGCAGCTTGCCCTGGGCATCTGCTCAGCAAACAGAATGGCCGTCCCTTTCTCCTGCACCAACTCTGCAAGTGTTTTCTTTTCTTACTGCCTAATCACAATCTTATTTTCTTATGTAAAAAAGAAGAAAGCTTAAAAATATATATATCTATATGCATGCACCTTACTGATCTTTGTGGCTCTTGCAGGTTCTTTTTGTTTCCTTGACATTTGCCCCTGTTCTCTGAAAAATGTAAAAGCTTCCCAGCAGTTTTGTCCAGGGATTCCCACCCCTGCACAGATCCCTCCCAGCCCCCCCGAAAATGACAGCCTGCCAAGCACAGTGGAAGAACAGGAGAGATGCGACACTATTTGAGCGTGACCAACAGCTCAACTAAACAAGTCCTGCCTTGCCTAACTCTCGCTCATTAAGGGTGTGAAGGCAGAGAAAGAGAATTTACTTCTGTTTTTTTTCCCCTTTGTCCCAGAAACAGACTTTTCAAATCAGCACAAAGGTCCCTTCTCCCTGCAGCTTCATGAGGTACACTTTCACGGGGAGGGGTAAATGTCTCCAAAAAGGCATTATCTATAGGCCTTTTATTTGGGTCTCTCGAGTACGAGTACACAGCGCTTTCAACAAACGTTTAGAACACAGAGATAGCTGAAAGACGTGACTGAGATACAGCACTGCCTTGCTAAAACTCAACTGAGCTGGGTAAACAGGGTCTCCCTGAGAACAGATATAACATCCTAGTATATTCCTCTCTCTTTACACGCATATATGTACTATTCCAGTATAGAAACAGAATAGACTTAATTGATCTCGACTCCAGCAGAGCCTTTCATGTGGAACCATAGAGGAAACGTTAGCTGTAGAAGCTAAGGATTATTGCTAACAAGGAACTAGCCAAAACCAAGCAGTGTA